ATAAAAAAATTTAACAAGAGCAGAGAACAACAATAATGTAAAATATTAAGAATGAACAATATACAAATAAAATCAATTAGCTACAAAATTAGACACTCATCCCACAACAGTCCCACAGTCTGTAGTTGAAATGTTCAATTCACTCCACAGCTGGGGACTCTCTCTTAAGTTCTTGTACTCAAGTTCACTTGGCCCTCACAACTGGCTTGAACTGTTTCAATGCTTTTCATGACAAATTACACTATTCAAGTCACTCATACCTTATTGGCACAGCATCCACAGCATTTAGACAGGATACCTCTAACCAAACCTTCCACGTCCTTGGTTACTGGTCTTATAAGCATATTACTACTATATTTGCAACAGTCTTAGTGACCTCTATCAAGCTCACACTCCATTTGACAGCATTTTATTCACACTTTTAAGGGCCCTTATTAAGCTTGTATGGAATGATGCTTGAGACAGAAAACCCACACTGGGTCTTCCTCCGCCCAGTCACCAGTGCATCCTCCCAGACCAGCCTATGAGATGCATCTTCACCTTCACCTTTTGATTTAATTTCAATAAATTTCCATCAAAATCGAATATGTCAATTTCCATTCAAACCTTTAAATCATATATTGTTGGGTGTGGACTTTTCTGGTGAAAGTAAGTTATCTAGTTCACTAGCTAGACCATGCCTCAACCACACTTCTATTCTTCGACCTACCCTTTCCCTTCCCTAGAGAAAGAGAAAATAAAAAAAGAATAAACTCACATCCATTCATCTGTCTCCCCTCATCCCTGCCCTCATCCCTTCATCTTCCATTATTCATCCCTATACCCTCATCCCTTCATCCTCTGTCCCTCATCCCTACTCATAGGCTCACAACCTCTTTTCCCTCCCTCCCTCATCCCTTCTTATTCGATTTTTTGCATACCATAACAATTTCCATTCAAACTTTTAAATCACACTGTGTTCGGACGTGGTCCTTGCTAGTGAATAGTACTTTCTACTTCTTCCCCTCTACAATTCTAATTTCATCTGCTACTATCACAAATCAATAGATTTGTTGTTCCAAAGTGTAATGTTGCCTGACTTTTTTCTGTTTTCTATATGACTGAAAAATGTAATCAAGATGGATGATATAAAGTCACTCAGTTACTCAATGTATGTAAAATTATGTCTTTGACAGATGGATTTGCTTCAGACCCTTTCAAAGGCAGCGACCCCTTTGCAGCAGATATTTTGTTTCCAGCTTCAAACTTTGGCACTGAGGACACTGGAAATGGTGGTGATGATGCAGAAAACAGTCTGTCCTGTGGTGAAAACAAAGCCTCAACAGGAACTCAGTGCTTTGAATCTGAATTCCCGGACGAGGACAGTGACATAGAAATAAGCTACAGCAGAGAAGACCTGGACACCATTGATGTAGCCGATGAATCTCGTGGATTTAAACCCATTCAGAGCTCGTCAGAGGAGCTTGGGCCTGAGCCTATCCATGGCTGGAGGTCGCAGGGTCAGTATTCTGTAGAATCAGACCCTAATGGGTATGAGCTTGACTTTGGTGCTATTTCCCCTCCTTCTGCCATAGAGGAGCACAGTCTGGTATCTTTAGATGGAAAAGCTGCCAATGAGACACCAGCAGGAGTGGAACAAGGTAATTCATACTCAAATCCTGATTCTTTTTCCAGTTCTTGTTGATGAATGCTGCCACTCATCTTTCATGCTTTCAATTAATTCAGTTACTATATTAAATACAGTTCCCACAATGAGCAAGCACTTTGGAAACTGTGGATAGAAAAAAACTCCTTCAATAATTGGAAGGAATCTAGTAGAATCAGACACATTGTGGGTGACCATCAGAGCCAGAAAGACTGAAAATGTGTGTCTGCTGCTGTAATTTGATCCGGGAGTGAAGGCAGATTGAATCCATTCCGATAGCAAACAAAAGCCAGATGAAAATGGGAGATTGTGGGTTTTTTGACCAGTGGAAAAGGGGCTTTGTAGACACAGGTTTTATCGGCTCTGGCTCTGATGGGCAGTGATGGAAACATAACACTTGGGTGTGTTATGGAAGTTTTCTGTAAGCTGGTGGAAGGAGAACTCAGGCAGCAGCTGATGTCTTATGCAGAATATTTTAATGTAGACTTGATGAATCAAGGAGAATTTCCAGTAATTTGATAAAATTGCCAAACCTTCCAGATTTTATGAAAGCTAATTTTGAATTTTAGAAGTCTGAGATATTCTAATACGTATCTACACATTTAGTATATAAATACACTGCAACTAGTAATGTTATGTTTTATTTGTCTTGCCAACTCTAAATAATAAACCTTGTGTTTAGTCTGACCCCACCTTGAAGATGTAATGTAGAGCACTAAGGCACCATTAGGTTTACAAAGACTACGTATCTGCTTGCAATATAGTTGAAACAGGATATCCCATACAATAAATGGTAAATAGTCAGTATTTTTATAGATTAGTCTTGATGACCACTCAAAGCACTTTGCAGTGAAATTTTCTTGCCACTCACCCATTCATACAGACATACATTTATTGCATCTATGGGTATCCCTTTTCCAAGACAATGACACAGGGCAATTGGGGTTGCCAAAGGGCCCTGGGATTGAATTGCCAAACCTCTGGAAAGAGGAGGACCGCTCTATCTCCTCAGACATAGGTGCCCAACAAATCTTTTTTTCGATGATTTTTTCATTGTCTAAATTCTAGATCACTGAATACTGAGCTATACATGCTGTCATATATGGTGGTGCATTACCACCATCTACTGTGTCTTCTTCTTCTTTCCTGCTTATATTGTTTCCTCTTTGTCCGGTTTATTGGCGGGTGGCAACCAACATCAAGGTGCATTACCACTATTTACTGTGTTGGTGCACTGTTCTGGAGGTACTAAATGCTTCTGTTTCTGGACCTTTGAGGCTGTGAACTGTCTTTGGACCAAAACCTTTGACTAAAGTGTTTCAGGTTGTTCAGCATTTGAGATTACAACTTGTGTCACCTGCTGTTTGGTCGAGAGAAGAAGAAGAAATATAATAGTACCTTGATGCTGGTTACCACCCGCCAATGAACTGAACAAGGAAGTTTATACTTCTAGCTTTGATCCCCTGATTGTTGTCTTCTCACAGGTTTGAGTTCCGTTTCACCTCAGAGCCAACCTGAGCAAGTCCTGTTGAAACCAGATTCGACGGATGACAAAGAACAATCTTTGTCCTGTAATGGTACCTCCAGTCAGGGAGCAGGATGTTCTAGCAACAACAAAGATGAAACCTGTAACCCTGTAACTCCCCAAAACTCACTAGACTCCCAAAACCTCTTCATTCAGCCCAACTCAGATGAAAATATAGAACTGAGTTTTGAGTTGAGCTATGCACCAAAAAGTCAGTCTTCCTTTGACCCATATGGGTTTAAACTAAGTCCAGAACATTCTAGTCAAACCCTGTTAGACCCAGATGAAGATGAAATAAGCCCAGAACCCTCTGAAAATGATCTTACCTTTGATCCAGAGCCCCCCTCTTCTCAACCAGACCAATTGAAGTTTGATCCTTATGGATTTGACATCACTTCCTCCCAGATGGTTCAGGACTGTGATCCTTATGGCTTTAAGCTAAGTCCTGAGGAAGAGAATCAGGAGGTACTGGACATCTGTGGCTATGATAACCATGAGGCAATAGACCTTAACGTGTATGAAAAGAGAACGCAAGAGGATCCCTCTAATTATAACAATCATGAAAACCAAGAAGTGCTTGATCATTATAGCTACAATAACCAAGAGCTGTTTGATTTGTGTAACAACGGAAACCAAGAAGTGCTGGAACATTCTAGCCTTGACAACAGGGAGTTAGTTAGCAATGAAAACCGGGAACTACTGGATCTTTGTGGTCATGTCAATCAGGAGGTGGTGGAACCCTATTGCAGTACAAACAATGAAGACCTATTTGAACATTGGGAATGTGGCAACCAAGAAATCGTGGAACATGATAGCCATGGCAATCAAGAATTAGTGGATTTCTCTCATTCTGAGAATCAGGAAGTGCTGGATTTAGGCAGACATGGCAATCAAGAACTACTTGATTTTGGTAGTAAAGTAAATCAGGAAGTACTTCTTTCTGGTAGACACAACAAACAGGAACTCCTGCAGCCTGGTATCAATGAGGAATTGCTAGACTTAGGTAGCAATTACAACCAGGAGATGTTCGACTTATTAAGTAAAGAAGTTATCCCTGAAGCGAACAACAACTGTACTGTGGAACCAGAGCCCATTGTCAGTCCCACTAATAACAGCTTAGACAGTATTGTTGCAACACAAGACCTGCTGGGACTAAAATTCAGTAGCACTAGTATTTGCACTACTACCAGTAACACCAAGACTGCTGACACCCACAACATGTCTGCCAACCCGGACCTGGCTTTATTCAATGCTCCCACCAGACACAACATGTTGGAAAGTGATCTGGGTTCAGTGTTTGGAGCTGGAGGATACATTGGTTGTCCTGATGTAGCTGATGACCTGGAGCCCCTGGAAAGAAGGCAGGCAAACCCAATTGTAGAGCAAGTGAGACCAGTCAGACCAGTTAGGCCTCCTCGGCCCTCACTCAAGGTAAGTTGACTCACATGCAATGCACATATGCACATCTTCTGAGGTCTTTATGGGTCCACTTGGTTCTTAGTATCCAAGAACCAACCTTTATTTTAGGGTCCAGTTGTAAAGATATCTGCTTTATTTAGTAGCTGAAGCCTATTCAGATTGGATCTGGAATTGCTTGGGTAGTTTTCAAATGTAGTCTCAAATTGAATTTGGATTAGATTGTTGTGGTGAAAACTTGTAGTCAAAAAGTCAAAAAATGCAGTTGAATAAAAAACAAGAGAAGTCAACTTAAAAGCAGCAGAGTTTTATTGTCGACAAGAAAACCAGAGAGCATTCAGTAGCGAGCCGGAGCCACACCAGAGAAAAACTCTGACTATCAGTGGTGTTGCTCCGCTTTATCTATCCTTAAGGGCCACGCCCGTTACTAATCTGACTGGTCTATCATTACATCTATCATTTGTGGTCCGACGTTGTGATCTAATCTTATTGGTTATTGGGGAGGGTCTGACATTACGACCCTCCCCCTGGAAAGTCTCCAAGCCCTGGGGTTACTTTGGACTTGAGTTTACCCCTTAAAAGCCTCCAAACACCTGAGTGGCTTTGATGGCCTTGGAGCTGGGACTTTCCCCCTGGAGAGCCCCTATCATGCCTTGATAGGTCTCTTTTTTCCTCAAACAGTTTTTCATACTCTTTACACCAATATATTTTGTTCAGATCGTTTACTAATTTTTTAAAAAGATATTTGTCTCTGATTTGACACCGTTATGTTTTCTTGTTTTCAGATTGTCTCTTTTTTTTAAAAAGATTATTATTTCTTTATACCAGTTACACATACACATCACACTGCTTGTAACACACTGAGTATATTATTTAATTCGTCAATACTGCATTAAACTTGTTGTAATCATCAGTAACTTATGTCTCTTTTTTTTAACTTTAACAAACATGCAGATCGTGCAGATTAAAGGTATATAGTGACATTAATATTGTGACATAGCATAATGACCAAAAATTACACTACAAGATCTAAAATGTTTGACCCTTCTAGACTTTGACTTATGACTTAACAGCAACCTTATATAGCCTTCAAGCCTCCAGCAGTGTCTCAGGCATTATCTGTCTACACAGGAGCCAAGATTTCAACTGTAAAATGTCTTTATCAGTACTTGTCCTGGTCACAATAATCAAATTAAAGATATATTTGTATCTTGTGTGATGATGTGTTGATGATGAAATTATACTGGCTAGGAACCCAATAGTATTTATATAGTGAGTTACAGTGAGTGGGTCCTCTAAATTGGTCTAAACTGAAATTGTCACTTGAGGACGATTCCTAAGGTCTTGGATCTGCAGACTTAACCTCTAACACCCACCACAAACATTGATGGTTAAATATCTTTACAAGTATTGTAAGCATTTGCAATGAAATACGGTGCAAAAATATATGTCTCCCAGTGAAATATTTTTATGATACCCAAATGTTCAATATAGTGCCATCATTAGGTCAAGTTATATTTTATCCAAAACTTTGCTTTGGTACTTGCGACAACAGTAAAAAATCATCATCATAATACCTCTTTGTCTGTCATGTGTGTTTTAGGCCAAGGAGAAGGCTCAGTCACAGACTGATGGCATTGACCTGAAGTGATCTCTCAGCACCCAATACTCGTGTGGGGGTTACAATGTCATCATGCTCCCCATGTCAACAATGGCAACACACAACACAAGGGAGATGGCAGGAGGAGGTGATGATTAAATGGAGATGAGCGAAAGATCATTGTCATTCTTATCTATGCCTATAATTCTACTTTCAGATATGTTTTATGTGTGGAGATTTCCCAGAAAAAGATTTGAGTCCAAACTGAAAGATGAGAGATTTGCAATATGTATCATGGTAACATGGGACCAGCAGACTTCCCCAAATGTGTTGACTAATTTACTGATTGCTACTAAGGAAACCTAAATGGCCCATGGCTTCAGTCTATTCAGAGTGAAACAACCATATAAAAATGAACAACATTCTTTTAGGTGGTCCTATGTAAGATAAATGAACCCCTCATGTTTGACCCCAGATAATGCATGTGAATCAACCATAGTGTTGATGTATCTGTTATTTACTCATATCAGCTGCCAACACACCTGTGTCCTTGGAGTCTCAAGATTTCTATCCTTTCCCACAGGTTTTTACTGCTAATTGGTCCACAGTGAAAATAAGCTGCCTAGGTTTAATTTGAGCGTTGTGGCAGAACAAGTGTAAGTGTCACATTGAAGATATGTATATAAATTATATACTATGCTATTGTGGTTCGGAGATTGTCTCTTTAGTAGATTTAGGTTTAAGTTGAATGCAACCTTTAGAAAGAATTTAGTTGCATTGTATAGTGAGGGCATTTCCATTTCATCCCCATAGTAATATGCATAGTGTTTTACCTCATCAGTTACTTTAATGTGCTCTTTATGAAGGACTTTGCCAGGGTTCTTTAATAAATTAATGAATCTCCATTCATACGCTGGCGGCTCAGCATCAGGGGAAATTTGGGATTTTAGAAAATAAATCTAGTGTCTCTGTGACAGTTTGTCCACCTGAGAATACTGATAGGTGGATATTAATCAGTAAAACATCTGCATCACAAGCCACCCACTACACATCATACGCTAAGAAACACATCCAAATATGATTGTTTATGCATCTTTGTAAGAAAACAATACTGTCTATTATTATCAAATTCTTCAACATGTCATAGTTTTCTGTTTTTGCAGTTGGAACTCTAAAAATAATTGTACCTGGAATGGTCTAATGAAACTTTAATCAAAATTATTTCCAATGTGTTTGCTTTTTTCTCGGGTTTTGGAGCTGTTTAATTACTTTCCAGAATTTATTTATGTTTATCAGTTGTTAACTCCTGATTAATTTTCTTTGTGTTTTGCACTATAGGGACTTGCATCGACACGACTCTCAGACAGAATTTATGTAAATCTGCTTGATTTCTATTCATGTATGGATGAAGAGAGTAGTTAGTTCTGCTGGTACCATACCTATGTAAAATTAAGAATGTGAATTCATGAGAATGTTAGTGGGTTAAGGTTAGGGTGTCCATAGTGAATATATAGTGCATCAGTCTTCCTTCACCCTGGAACAGACTTGGTAGGCACTGAAGTACTGTTCAGTTAATATTAATTTTCAGCTCACACCTACCTCATTATACTAATTTGCTATGACTGCATAACAACACTGTGAACCCTGTAAAAGCAAACATTTATTTATTTTGATGCTTGTGAAGTAATTAAAAGGTGTATAAGAGAGCTCAGTGCAATAGGTGTTATTATTGTGATCAGGAGGTTTGTAACTGTGAATGATTCCCTGAGGGCCAATTACTGCCCTGCTCATTCCTCATGCCAGGGGTTGTTTGAATATGAGCTGTTATTTTTTCACGAAACGTAACAAAAATACATATATGGCAATATTAAAGTAAGACAGTTTTCGGTGTTGTTTTCCTTAGAAAGCCACGGGCCATAAAATGTTTTTTTATTGTGGACTAGATCAATTTTGTCATTCATACAATCCAATAAATGTACAGGTTGTATAGTTTGTTTTGAACTGTGAGTGATGTGGATGATTCCTCTCACAATATATATAATGCCTTGCCAAGATGTGT